TGCTCGTGGTCGCTTCTATTAGGTTTATCATGTCTCTCTCTATATTTTTCAGATGATGTGTGACTGCTCCCAAGACTATCAAAGATCACATGTGGGTCACAAACAACTACTTATGTAGCTCATTAAAAACCTTTCAAATAGATTGCGCATATATTCTGCCATTTATCAATGTTAACAATTGTTGCATTAATGAGAAACATGCCCTCAAAAATGACAGAGTGTGGCACCCATCTTGAAGGAAATTCCACTAACAAAGCATCTTCATACCTTTTCTCGTAGAACTTAATAATGCTACTTTTTTGCCCTTTGTGAGGAATTCTACCTTCAGTAACTATAGCTTTAGGCAGTTCAAGAAACTGTTCTGCCGCTCTTATTTCAATGCCAGTTCCTTCATTCAGCATTATTCTTTTTTTACGCATTCTGTGACTAATTTTTCTCACTTTTTATTTGCCTAAATCTGCTTTTCGTTAGCTTTGCTCCTCCAACGGTTTTTAAATTGTCATTTTTATGTTTAATTTTCTTGCTTTTAGATATGTTTGTAACATATCTTTGTCAAGATCATCCTGACCGTGCTACGGAAGTGTAGGAGGTCTTGCTCTTGTTCACTAATGGATCACTAATGGACGTAGGTAAGAAAGAGCTTTCTTTGATTCTGTTAAGAACTGCCATCACGTTATCATATATTTTACGGTCAGTTGATGAGATTTTGTCATTAGTGATTGGCTCTTCGTTAAATACTTTATTTCTGATGTTCCTTAAATTACTAGTAGCCTTTGTATGGAATGCTAAGAGCAACTTGATTAATGGCATTTATTCCTGGCCGAGTGATGGCATCTTTCAGGTCTCTATTGATTAAAATTTCGTGACATTTATCTATGGCGACTGAGTTGTATTCATTACCAAGAATGCTCACAGAAAATCCTTCTTGAGCAAAAGCTTCTTTGACATCATTAGGTAGGAGAATGCAGTCTGCAAAGTGTTGCGGCAGTAGCCTTCTGTAGTTCACACTATCAAATGCTGCAAATACAGGTGCCATTACATTCCATCATCCCAATCTTACATTCCACTTTGTTCATCTAATAGCTAGATATAAATTAATGTAACCCAAGCAATTTGATATGACAAATTCAGCCCTAAAGGTCCAATTTGGGTCATTACTAGCTTGTGAGAAGCAAAATCATAAAATTTTCAGAAAATGTATATTGATGCGATCTGGCAAAAAGAAGATAAGTCATTCATCGTACTTCTCATTTCACTTTCAATTTCCTTGGAATTGTCAGTCTCCTGTAGAAACTTCTCATACATGTAAATGTAAAATGCTTCCCATGATTAAATCGATGTGTTCTCTTGAAATTTTTGCAATTGGCTAAAGAAGTTTTTGTTTCACCGAGATGACCAGCAACATTAGCAAGTTAATTCAAGCCAGCATTAAAGTAAATTTTCATTAACACTGGCTGAAAATTACTTAGTACGTGCCAGTCATCATTAAATGGGACAGGCCAAGACATTTTATTGCCATGTTCAAAACTTATTGTGGCTGTATGTTTTGGCATCTCCAGCTACTACTAAATGTTGAATTTCAGTGCCTACCTTAAACTCGTCATAAGCTAAAGACAACACATCAGCAATTGTTTCTTTGTTGCCTTCATTCTGATTAAGAACATTTAGGTAGGTATACACTGCAGTAGAGCAATTCACATGTCTTACCTTTTTAAGGAATGACTTCAACAACATTGCTTTATCACTTTCATTAGTTGTCAGTGCCTTTTAACACCAATGTATGAAAAACAAATTTTTTGACATAGGTATAATTCGTCTTACTCAGTATCGCAGAGCTGAAAATCACTAAAAGATGAGAATAGAATGTCTTTATATGTCCTATTCGACAGTGGGAGCCAGTGCTCATATTTTTTCCTTGAAGTGCATGCCAGAGGTTGGGTTTGCAATCTCTGGGCACTAAATTGCTTTCTATAATGACCTTTGGGTTTTGAAAGGAGTGTCATACTGAATGTCATTTTGTAAAACTGGATGATGAGTTTAAGAATAATGTTCATATAGATTTGAGTAAGTATCCTTATCTTAACAATTTGGAATTTTCTATTTCATTGGATCATTGCAAGCAGATAAAGCCAGACATCTTAATTGGATCTGACCAGTATTTGTCTCTACTTACAGGTGAGATAATGAAGAGCAACATGAGCCTGTTGCTTTAAACTCATGCTTTGCCTGGATTTTAAGTGGTACAGCTGCTGTGAAACAGTCTAGTGCACGGAGTGCTACTATGGTAACCCATGTTTTAAGGGTAGATAGCGTCCTTGAAGACATGATCCTAGATGTAGATTGCGTTCATTTTTGGAGCTGCAATCGTTAGGAATTATGGAAAATGAAAATTTGGTGCTAACTCAATTTAGTGATCATGTGAAGTTTGATATTGGTAAGTGTGTTGTTTCCCTGCCTTGGAAAGACTCTTGCATTTCTCTTGCTGATAACTATCCGCTTTGGTTACTTTAATTGAATGGTTTGTTTAAGCACCTGAAGAACTCTCATGAGTTATTGAGGAGACATATTATTACAGAGCAACTTGACATGGGCATTATTTTCCCCGTTCAGAACTCTGAAGAATGCACTTTGGCTCATATACACTTTTTACCACATCATTGTGTGTTGAAGCAGGACAAGTCTACTACAAAATTGAGAATTTAATATGATTCCTCTGCTAAGACTAGTGGTCCATCATTGAATAATTGCCTCCATATACAGTCTAACTGCACCCATCACCGGAAGTGCTTAGTTATTAAGATTTATTTTCTGAAGGAACACGCCCACGCACAATCATTGGCCAATATGGCCACCTGCATTGACTTTACCAAAGTTGTCATAATTACATCATACAAATGAATATTGTTATAAATTGAAAAAAAATTATTCCACCTGGTGTGGTCTTCGTAGCAGTTGCTTCTGTTCATAGTATAGTTCTTTCATTCTTATATAAACAGATAAAAGATAGTGATAGACAAGATTACAGGAACTTATTTAGTTCTTTAAAACATTAGAGTTTTTGAGATCTTTGTTACTTGTTGACTGACTTTTTCATGTGATGTTTCATTATTCCAAATTTAGATTCACCAAAAAACATTTTGTGTCCCACACTTGTATATTGAGAATGCTATGAAAAAGGAAAGGTAACTGACTTACATCGTTTTGCAGAGTTCATTGTAATACACTCTCATTAGATCATCATAATTGTAAACTGTGTGGATTACAATTAAGCCACATTTATCATTCCCATCTTGGCACATTATCTGAAGATGTTAAATCATTTATCTTTAAAGGGCAACTGAAATGAATTTTTTGCATTTTTAAATTAAGTGACTTAGGCATACATTTACACAAAATATAACATTTGATGTACTTATATGCTGCTGAAAACGTTCCTTTGGCAAAATATCACGACTTTAAACTGCAACTTTTTAGTGGCAGCCATATTCTTCCTGTTTAAGCAACAAAATGGGCATGTCGCGAATGTGATGTCGTCAGATGAATAGTGTAATACTACATGGTGCAGAGTAACAGTCTATTTCTTCACTATGCCTAAAAGATGTGTTGCTTATGGATGTGGTAGTACCAACAGAGATGGTATTAGTCTGTTTAGTTTTCCTAAAGATGATAAACTTTGCAAATTGTGGACACAACAAGTGCAGAGAGCTAGAGACAAGTGGTCAAGACCAACAGCATACTCTTTTCTTTGCAGCAATCATTTTTCTCCTGATTGTTTTGAACCAGATTCTAAATTAGCTGCTAGATTTAACTTACAAAAAGTACAAAGATTGAATCCAGGAGCAGTACCAAGTACTGTAAACCCAGAAAAAATAACGTCCATTATAATTAACGATTTTATTACTCCTTCCAGTTTAACATCCTTTTATAATAACGAATTCAAAAAAACGAAATAACGAAATGAAAATTATAACAAGTAAATAAAA